AAAAAAAGACATTTATGCAGCCAACAAACATTAAAAAAAAGCTCATCATCACTGGTCATTAGAGAAGTGCAAATCAGACTCACACTGAGGTACCATCTCATGCCAGATAGAATGGCAATCATTAAAAAATTAGGAGACAACAGATGCTGGTGAGGATGTGGAGAAATAGGAACAATTTTACATGGTTGGTGGGAATGTCAATTAGTTCAACCATTGTGGAAGACAGTGTGGTGATTCCTCAAGGATCTAGAACCAAAAATACCATGTGATCCAGCAATCCCATTACTGGGTATATAACCAAAGGATTATAAATCATTCTATTATAAAGACACATGCACATGTATGTTTATTGTGGCACTGTTCACAATAGTAAAGACTTGGAACCAACCCAAATGCCCAACAATAATAGACTGGATTAAGAAAATGTGGTACATATACACTGTGGAATACTATGCAGCAATAAAAAAGGATGAGTTCATGTCCTTTGCAGAGACATGGATAAAGCTGGAAACCATCATTCTCAGCAAACTGACCCAAAAACACAAAACCAAGCACCGCATGTTCTCACTCATAAGTGGGTGTTGAACAATGAGAACACACAGACACAGGGAGGGGAACAGCACACACAGAGGGGTATGGGGCTGGTGGGGGGGGGAACAGTAGGGGGTAGGGGGATGGGGAGGGATAGCATTAGGAGAAATATCTAATGTAGATGGCAGGGTGATGGATGCAGCAAACCACCATGGCATTTGTATACCTATATAACAAACCTCCACATTCTGCACATGTACCCCAGAACTTAAAGTATGATTTTTTAAAAAATGATGGCTTTCAATAACTGATGTTTATAGAAGAAATATATGTATAGCAGAATATCGAGATGTTGACCACCACCTGCGGAAGTCTGGCCTGCAGACCCTGACTCAACAATGGATGAATGAATGCACTCTCACACCTAGTTCAATGACACAAGTGGGCTAGGGATGGCTGTTGGCTGCTTTCTGAAGGTGAAGTGCAACCAATTGACCAAGACCCTCTATCCATCCACACATTTATTCCATCAAAATTTTACAACAGAGGTTCTAAGTCAACACATTTGTGGATAATTAACATGGTTAAAAGAGTGGTTATATGAATGATAAAAAGCTTTACATTCTGGGCCCAGAGTAAAGTCTATTAACAGATAATTCTCCTCCCACTGAAGGACCATCCAGCACCAAGTTTACATGAGTAAACAGAGCAGAGACAAAGGGACGTGGGGTAAACAAAAAGCCTTTGATCCTCTCTATATCTTTCCTATGCTAATGTTAATGAGGTGGCTGCCTTCAGCATGCCTCAATAAGACTTTTCGGTCCTCCAAAAGGTTTGAGATTATTACAATCTGTAACTTTTCCTAATAGTTAATATCTTGCCAGCCACCCCAAGTGAATAGCAACAGAATAAAAAACTGAAAATAAGAATACTATAATAGAAAGCCAAAGCTTTTTCAATTTATTAACAAAAGATAAACTGATCATCTCCAGTACTCATATTACTAAAGTCTCACACCTCTAACAATTCGGCAATCATCTTTTGGAAAAAAAATAAGCAGGAATAGAATTTAAATATTGATGTGTTATATGACTAAGTCCAGTGAATGCCTTGATAACCATGGCTGGAAATGCTTGTCACAGAAAGAGGGGCTTTGAAATTCTGACAGCAATTCAACCTTGAAATGTTGATAGAATTTTGACAAAAGTGGGGACAGAGGAGGGGACGAAAGGTAGTTTGTCCAAACAAAACATGGAAAAGAACAAGATATATTCATAAGATCGAGGAGAAACTATTCTGCCTGAGAAAACCATTCATTTGAGGGGCAATGTGAGGTTTGCTTTTACCTATGAAATTGAGCGTAATGGTAATTTAGAAAACAAGATTAAGCATTTCTTCTTTGAATTCTTTTTCAAAGTATTCCTAATCAAATTCTCCTGAAAGACTTTTGTTTTTTAAAATAGTCTTTCATTCTATTTTGCATATCTTTTTTTCTTACTATAAAAGTAATACACTTTTTTTTTTTTGACATGGAGTTTTACTCTTGTTGCCCAGGTTGGAATGCAATGGCACAATCTCAGCTCACTGCAACCTGTGCCTTTTGGGTTCAAGCAATTCTCCTGCCTCAGCCTCCTGAGTAGAGGACGTGGGATTACAGACATGCACCACCACACCCAGCTAATTTTCTATTTTTAGTAGAGATGAGGTTTCTCTATGTTGGTGAGGCTGGTCTTGAACTCCTGAAGTATACACTTTCAAAATAAAACATTTATTGGCCTATTATATTATTTCTTCTGTGAATGTTTTTATGTCCTCTGTCTGCGTTTCGACTGTGGTGTATTTTCTTACCAGTTTATAATGGTGCTTTATAGATTAAGGTCGCACTCTATTGTGCTCTGTAGGCATCCTATCATGCCCCCATCTCTCACCCCTCTTCAGCTCCTAAAACCTTTCCACTGGGCCCTCTCAATCCATGGTCTACCATCAAAATCTTTTAAATCCAATTTATCTTAACATCTCCTTCACCTTTTGCTCTGGCTGAATTTAAAACCCTCCTCACAGCTTTTCCCATAGCTCCTTCTCCCATGACTGGGCCTAGAGGTGAGATAGCTAAGTGCCTTCCTTGCAGCTTCCAGTTCTCCTTCCTACCTGAAAGCTCCTGGCTTTGACTCACGTCATTGGGCTTACTACCTCCCACTACCTCTCATCGTTGCAGTCATCTACCACAACCCCTGCCACTCCCTTTCATTTTTCCGCAATTTTAGATCCTGGCTTACTGTCACTCTCTCCAATATTCTTCCTATCTTAATTCTTGGTGATTTCAATATACATGAAATTATACCCTGATCACTCTGATCTTTTAACACCTCTCCTTTAATGATTTTGGTCCTCCACTCGTTTATTCAATTCCATGCCCGTGCTGTGGGTATTTTATTATTAAGAAGTGCAAGCTGTGTCATCTCATTTTGGGTATCTTATTCTTTATCACTTCTTTCTAGCTTGCTCCTTCTAACACCTCAGTAACAATCCTTCTGGGACTTTCAATCTATTGATCCTCCCATGTTTCACTTTTTTTCACTCAGCTTTTGATTTCCTGTCTTCCTCTCTCATCCAGCCTGAATTCCATTGTTCTATAAATAAAATGTTCCCTTGAATACACCGTCAGCTCTCTGGCCCCTCTCTCACTCCTCTGTACTTACTCCAATTCTCTCGACCATTCCTCCTGTCCATTTCCAACTCTTTTACATGTTCTCTCTCCCCTTAAACCTCTGACACTTCCTCCCACATCCTCACACTCAGCTGATGACTTCACTTTCTCCTTTATTATAAAATTTTATAATATTTTAATTTTATTATAAAATTAAAAGAAATCAGAAGAGCACTTCTATAAATGCTCACCATCACACTGACTCACTAGCATCTGTATCACATGTTCTACATTCCTTTCTGTTATTAGAGACCATTTCTGTCCAATACAGTAGTCACTAACCACATATGGCTATTAAACACTTGTAATATAACTAGTGTAACTGAGGAAGGTAATTCTTTAGTTAATTTGAATTTCAAAACCAAAGCACTGTAAAGATTAAACAACTTTGTTATTTTGGTAGAACTATATTTTCCATTTTAATGATGGGAAATTTAGCATCCAAACTGAGATTTGCTTATAAGTGTTTGAAAATCTAATATGAAAAAAAAGAATGTAAATGTTGCATAAGTCAATATATCGATACCATGTTAAAAACCACAGTATTTTGGATATACCTGGTTAAATATATTAAACTGTCATCTACTTCATACTTTTTAAATGTGGCTACCAGAAAAATTTTAAATTACATATGTGGTCCATATTATATTTCTATGGACAACAGTGCTACAGATGAACTGCCCAGGTTCCTAAGACCAAACTTTATGCACAAGACCCCACTGCCTTTTTAAAAAGTGTTTTTGTAAAAAAAACAAAAAAAAGGCCAGTCAAGTGAAGCAACGGGAGTCAATACATCTGTAACTAGGTGTGATCAATTAGCTGTAAAGACCACCAGCCTCCACTGCCTCTTGCCTACATAAAGGTACAGCTGTAGCAATTCTTCAATTCTTCCCTCTAATACATCATCAGTTTTTAACTACAGGAGCTTTCCCTTTAATGCAAACATGCTGTTTTTCCTGCCATGTTTTCCTGTTTAAAAGAAACCCCCCACCTCTTCGTCAGTGACTTTTTTTTTCCTCCCCTTTACAGCAAATCTCCGTTAAAGGCTTATCTATAATCCAATTTATTTCCTCCTATTTTTTGAACGCTTTCATCCTCATAACATCATCAAAACTGCTGTGATTAAGATCCCAACAACCTTAACACTGCTAAACCCTTCGGCCAATTCTGAACATTTTTTAATTGATTTATCAACTTTGAGCAGAGTTGCTCACTCCTTACTCTTTGAAATTCTGTCATCCTTGGTTTCCTCGCCATCCCACTCTCCCTAGTTTTCCACCTCCCTGGCTGCCAGCACCTTTCAGTCTCCTTTGCACGGTTATCTCTTAACGTTGTAAGCCTCTGAGGGCTCAATCCTCAGACCTCGTCTCCTATCCATTCACTCCCTTGTAAACTGTAATCAATCTCGCATCTTTCAAGGCCAGTCAGTTATATGCTTACGAAAACCAAATTGACATCTGCGGCTCGAACCTCCCCCGAACCATGCCCAAGCAGGGAAGAGGGCGGGGGGAGAACCCTTGGGACTAGTCCGCACTGAGCACTACAGGTGGCAGAGCCATGGGGGACCCGCAGGTTATGAGATTTAGGGGTGAAGGGTAGGGGTGTGGATAAAGTTGCGGGCCTGACCTGCTTGAACGTCCGCAGCACCGAGCCCAGCACGGAGGCCGCCATGTTGTCCGCCGCAAACTACAAAGCGCGGCAACTTTATTGACACCGCCGAATGACGCAAGACGCGAGGGGCGGGCCCTGGGCCGACGGGGCGGTGGGTGGGAATGTGGCCTACAGGAAAGCGGGGTCAGTTTTGGGATCTGAGCTCTCGCGATATTTCACGGAACCTGGGAAAATGACAAATTTGAAGGCGCCGCGTTGATATTGAAGGCGCCACCCGACACGCGCGTTCCTTGCGTGTCCAGGACTTCCTTCCGTTTTACACACCCTGTTAAACTACACATGTCTCTGCCCTCGTCCGTCGCCAGCAATTTCTCTTTCACTGCATGTTCTCGGTTCCGCTCAACATGCCCCTCCTATATGCTCCACTCGGCTTAGGGCAGAAACCTAGGAATTATTGCCACCTCCTCCTCTGCCATCTCTCCTATAGATCCTGCAAATCTCTTTTCTCCACTATAATGGTGGCGTGATGATGATGGCAATGACAAAGATATTTCATATGTATGTCTTAGTTTATATATAACATCTGTTTGGGGATTTTAGGTTAAAAGGACGTAAACGTTTTGTTTGTCCTTGGTAGGGGCATTGCCATTTAAAAGCTGCTGTTTTCAGCTCAGAGTACAGGAAACTAGCCTTCAAGTCTTTAGAGCCGCTGTCCTTCCTCTGGGATGAACCCTTGGAGGGGCACTTTCCTTTGTGTGGATATAAGGCAAGTACCACGCACCTGCGATTCTGATAGAAGAGTATGGAGGAGCATATATTAGCTTGGCAAGTACTGTATCTTAGGTGTGTTGGTGGATGAAGTGGAGCGATGCCCGTGTGCTACTTCTATCTGCATTGTTACACAGGAGCCTTCTGGGAGGGAGAGCTGAATGTGGACTCTTTTCTTTAGAGGTTCAAATGTATCGGACCGTATCTAATGGATGGGGAAGGTTTGACAGGCCAGCTGGCGGGTATGGAATCAGAAAACTAGACTGGCCTCAGGCAGGCATCTGTTCCTAACTCAAGCCCGTGTAATACCCTCTTGCCCTCCCCACAGCTGGGGTCATCTTCTATAAGCAGGTCATGAAACAGGTGAGCTAGCTCTATGCACTCTGGCCTTTTCTTCCTTTCTGGAAAACTAATTCTGAAAGCATGTTTTTTGTTGCTGTTGTAGATTATGATTTAATTCTACCTTGTTGTGTGACTGGGAACAGGGGCAAGAATCCACTTGTACAATCCCAAAGGAAGAAGAGTCAGGAGAATTATATACATCTAGAGTGAGCACAGGACTGAGGCCAGATCCTCCTGGAAAGTGGTCAGAAAGACTTAGACTTAAGTCACAGGAGTTAGGCCAATCTGATTGTTTGCCCTTTCAAAGATAGCAAAATACTGGTGAATGAAGACGCAGCCCAGGATCCAGAGCTCTTCTGGGTGGTGGAGAGTTTCATGCCCTGGAAGCTGCTGGTGCAAGCCTGCTGGCTTTTTACTGGTTTTATGAAGGATATTAAAAAGGGCCGGGCCTGCTGGCTCACACCTGTAATTCCAGCACTTTAGGAGGCCAAGATGGATGGATCACTTGAGGTCAGAGTTCAAGACCAGGGCAACTTGGTGAAACCCCATCTCTACTAAAAATACAAAAATGAGCTGCATGTGGTGGCAGGTGCCTGTAATCCCAGCTACCTGGGAGGCTGAGGCAGGAGAATGTCTTTAACCCAGGAGGTGGAGAGGTTGCAGTGAGCCGAGATTGCACCACTGCACTCCAGCCTTGACAACACAGCAAGACAAAAAAAAAAAAAAAAAGATGCTAAAAAGGATACAGATGAACAGTCAGTTGGAAGAGATGAATGGGACAAGGTACATGGGATGGAACTTGGAGCTTCCATGTCCTTTCCTGGCGGGGCCACCCTCCAGGAACCTCCACGTATTCAGCTATCTGGTAACTTCTGAAAGCATCTTTAAACAGCATTAGTAACTTTTTTCTAAAAATTGTGATATATATAACATAAATTTTACCATCTTCGCCATTATAAGTGTACACTTCAGTGGCATTAAGTACATTCACACTGCTGTGCGACCGCCATCACTGCCCATCTCCAGAACGTTGTGTCTTCCAGAACTAAAACACTGTACCATTAAACAGCAGCTCCCCGTTTCCCCTTCCCTTCAGCTCCTGGCAACCACCATTCTACTTTTTGTCCCTATGAATTTGACTACTTTAGGTAGCTCATATGTATGGAATCATGCCGCATTTGTCCTTTTGTGACTGGCTTCTTTCACTTATAACATCTTCAGGTTTTATCCATGCTGTAGCATGTCTCAGCACTTCATTCCTTTTTATGGCTCAGTAATATTCCATTGTTTGGCTACACTACATTTTGTTTATTCATCTGTCATGAACACTTGCTTTGCTTACACCTTTTAGCTATTGTGAATAATGCTATGAACATGTGTGTACAAATATCTTATACAGCATTAGGATCTTGTTAGGCTGTTTTTCACTTTAAGAAGAGATTAAGGCACCTAAAGGTGTGAGTGAGGCGGGAAACTCTGAGATACTGAGACAAGACTCCAGCCTCTTCTTTAATTAATTGTATTATTTTTTAAAAACAGCCTAAGATTCTTCCCCCCAAACCCCCAGTATGCACTCCCCCCATAGTGTGTGGGCCACTTGGCAGGGACTAAAAAAGGCTCGGCTTACCTTGAATTCTCCCAAGAACTCTCTAATTCTCTCTGGCTACTTGACAGAATGTGAGAAAGGCTGTTGTCCTTACTGTCCTGGAATATTAGAATCAGGAGAACCATCATAATTCATTTAATTATTCAAAAATATTTATTAAATGCCTATTACTTACCAGTGTGTAAATATGTGTCAGGGTGGAGACCGAAAAAAAAAAAAATCCCTCTCCTGATGCTTGTAATTCCACTGGGGATTATAGATTTAGACAAGAGTGGAGCTGTCTACGAAGGTTGGTTATATTACCTTTGCTTTTTCCTTATATTCTTTCCTTTGGAGGCTTAGAAGTACTTTTTGGGTGGATAAAATAAAATTTAAGAGTTAAATATTTTGAAATGTGATTGTGAGAGATGGTTACAGTTGCTATATTGATTCTTGGCTTAATTAAATTATAAGAATGATTGTATAGATAATGAAATTGAAGAATAGAGAGGTTGGGTAACTTGCCAAGCCAGCTGAGCTAAGGACATTAAGGCAGAGGATCTTAATCCTCTTTCCATGTTGTCTTCTGGAGAGGCGATGGCTCAGGATAAAGGCCTGACTGTTGTCACAGAATTCTTACGTATAAAATGTATCAATTGGCCGGGCACGGTGGCTCAAGCCTGTAATCCCAGCACTTTGGGAGGCCGAGGCGGGTGGATCACGAGGTCAAGAGATCGAGACCATCCTGGTCAACACGGTGAAACCCCGTCTCTACTAA